ACGGCCACGGTGATACTATCGCCATTCAGTATGGTGGCTCGCATCTCGTCAACACGATGGCTACCTACCGGAAGATCAACCAGTGGCAAAGTAGTTCTCGCGATATGGTTGAGAGCTTCAAGCGCTATTACCACAACTCCTTCCTCGACTCCCAGCGTCAAGAAGCGTACAATCTATTTCTAGGTAATTACGTTTACCGCCAAGGCCAGCCAATGCTCTGGGATCTATCAACAGACTACTTCCTTCATCATCAAAACCCACAAAACTTCCTCGAGCGCACGAGACGAGACTATATCCAGTGGTACACACATTCGCATCTTCAACAACGCACACTACCACCTTCAGTCATGCCAGCCCTCCCATCTGAGGAGTCGGCATTCGACTTCATCAGCTTCCGAGATGATTACTGGCTTGAGTACTACCGACCATTGGCTATCTCGTCATATCTCAAGATCTTCGCTTTCCGTTTAGCCAAGCCGCGACCAGGTCTTAGGGATGGAACGTATCCATCTCGTAAGGAGAACATGTCTCCGTTCGTCCCTCGTACAAAGCAACAGGATCACGACGCACAAGGAAGGGACGGAAAGAAGGCTACTCGGAAAGGTGTGACCATTATTGACCCTTCAAGCGAGACTGAGTCAAAGCCCGATCATACCCCGGGCAACCGGAGGAGGGATCTGCACCTGAGTGCTACCTACGCAGAGTCATCAGTCCGACATTCCATCCTTCGAGAATCGCACTTCGAAACCCACCCGCCAGCACCACCGCCGTCGGCATACCAATCGCTAGCCAATTCTATGTCCACATCAACTGGACTCTCATCCACCCTCAAACCCGGTTTCAAGCCCGCCAACAAAGCGCTCGTTCACCAGTGGACATTGACCCAGTTCTACGAGAACAGCATGAACCCATCTGTATCCTACAGCGAAGAGGAAGAGTACGCCCGCTACATCGAACACCCACTTAACCTGCCCCTGGTAGTCAGTAGCGAGATGCCCACCGCCGACGACCCCAGCGCAATGGAATTCTACGACTATCTTTCCATGACAGAAGGCAGCATTCCCGCGCCCAAGAACTTTGATGAAGACGGCGTTCAAATCACCCTCTCCGATCTACCCCGTCTAGATACGGAACTCGCGAACCAATCCTTCGCCCGCCCCATGACCTCCCAGTCCGTCAGCACGCCCTTCTCCCACGCGCCCTCCTACTCGTACCCGCACACGTACAATCTGCATCCACACGTCTACGCGGATGTTCAGCAGCCGCCTCCGCAACCACAGTCTACTGGGAGCAAGTTCCAAACGCCAGAAGAAGATATCGAAGAGTTTGAAGAGTTTCTGCGCGTCAAGGAGAACCCATTGGATGTCGAGGAGGAGGATACGGCGAAGAAGAGATACAAAGCTTACCGGCAGTGGTTGAGAGGTAAGAGCTTCTTCAAACAGAGTAAGGTTGATCCCGAGTGGCAGGCACAGTTACCTGTGAGGTAGATGGGGAGGTTGTTCACATTAGCATAGGGTTTGGCTTTTACTACTTGGAATGCATTTGAAGCCTATTGGCTATGTTCTGTCTGATCTACATGACTCTGCCCGTTTACTCTTACACTATCTCGTCTGTCATACCTGCGAGTACCCCGGCGCCAACGATTCCTCCGTCCTTGGCCTCCTTGAGCGTGACTTGCTTGTTCTTGTTTGATGATGAACCCTCCTCGACAAGAACGTCTATCCATTTCTGGCACGTCTGCAGCCACTTTGGATACTGTGATATAGTCCCTCCAGCGTATGCTATGACCAGTTCCTCGATCTCGCGTTTGCCCTTTGTACTTGCGCCGTTGCTTGGAGATTGCTGCTTGTCAAGCGCGACGTCGCCTACACAGTTCAGCAGTCCAACACAGGCAGCAGCGATGAGAGCGGAAGAACGCTGCTGGACAGCCTCGGCGATATCTCGTATCAGTTCCACCTTATCGACAGTCCAGAAGAAGTCATCTGAGGACTCTGCGTCTGGGTATTTGCTTTCGAGCTCCCCTTGTACGATACGGCCGCCCTTCCGCGCAATGACTTCGGAGAGGAAGCGGGTCGGCAGAGCGTTCTTGAGCATCAGCGATGATGGTATTTGCACACCTTCCTCTTTTGACACGACATCGACAAGCACCAAGCGTACAATCTCGCCAAGATACCGCCCAGAAGTCATGTACTCGAAAGGTTGGAAGCCTGGTGCGTCGCTATTGGCGTCTAGTGTCATGTCCCATGGTGTCTTGATGTTCAGGTCGACTAGCGGCTTGTCGGTACCGCGAATAGTCCACTCTGTGTTGATAACGACAGTTTCGGTAGCATCGGGATTTGGAAGTGCACTCCTCTTGTCGGGGTGCAGATTCTCGGGCTTCATTGGTACGGTCGCGTTGGTGCCCGTACCGACAATGAGACCCATGGCTACGCGGCTGTTTGGTGCCGCTTTAGCTGCATAGGCAAGAGATGCGAACGTTGCTACTGTGTCGTTAGTAATCGCTGCTACCCGTATCCTTGGCAGTTGTGACTTGGAGTGCTTGAGCTGGTCTGATGTAGCATCTGTGTCGCAGTATCGCGCATAGCCAGCCAGAAGCATCTTTCCTAGATTAAGATCCGATGTGATGGCGAACCCTTTGCCCATAGGCAGTAGAGTCGCTTCTGAGAGACGCGTTTGTCTGGATGACCTGTTAGCGAGATGCCGCGGTTCATTTAGGAGCCCACTTACGCCATTGGGAAGCTGAAAGTGATACCGAGCAGAATTTCGTCACCTAGAGGAGACGTGACGTCTTCCGTGGTCTCCTGTTCCTTGAGAGCGTCCTTGACAACCTCAGCGATACAGTCACCAATCCAGGCAAACAGGTCCTCGGCTTGATCCATCTTCAAGTGATCCTCAATCGGCCAATTCTTGTCATGACTCCTCTTGATCCGTGAAAACACGTTCTCCCCAACGGTGCTGCTACGTGTTCGCTCATCCTCTGGGTCGCCATCTGGCTCTCCAATTAGTTCAACGAAGCCGACTCTTAGATTCGTACCACCAACATCGATGCTCAGGAACTTTCCCTTCTCTTTGCCCGTGGGAAGCGCCGTCACGGGTGTGACTAGGAAGTGCTCAGTGGAGGATTTGGCGAGGTGAGTGTAGGTAGCCGAGAATTGGGTCGCTAGATCAAGCAAAGTGCTCGTATTGATGAAGCCGGTCAAAGCTTGAATGGCAGCCGGCGCAGCGTCTTGGTGATCATCCGACGCCATGCTTCGGGTCGGTACCAGGCTCAGGAACGGGTCTTGGGTGACGATGCAGGGCTGCTGTCACATGTATTATGGCGGCGAGAAGGGGATTGGGTGCAGCCTTGGCGGTGGCAGAAGAAGACGATATGTCTAAAGGTGGGGTATTAGAATGTTAGAAAGAGTCATTCCATCATGAGCGAAAGAAGCGAAAGGAAAACGAGAGGCGTAGGATTGCAAGCGTTACGCGCGCAGCAGATCAGTCGTTCATGAGGTAGGATCCGTGTAGCCCCTCCGTAGCTCGGTGTTACATTCGTGTAGAACGCCACACGGCTACAGCATGACGGCTAATTGTTACGCCGTGCTCTGCTGCCTCCTCGGCTCTTTCCACGTGTTGGGCGCGAGAGGGAGATTGTGGATAAGGCGTCACGTCATTGAGGAACGCGTCCTGACAACTTCCTCGACGCTCATAAGATATAGAGTTTAGATTGTTTTGTTTTTGCCTGAGCCCTAGATCCGCCACTCATAGCCGTGACACGTTAGTCGACACGCTATCAGCAGTAACCCGAACGCCTATCAGTCCATCTCTTGCCGCATTCGACTTCGTCCATGCCATCACAAGCGCATCGTATCTAGCAAGCCAGTCCAGACCACCAACCACCTACGACGAATTTCGCCTATACGAGACGCTACATAAGAGCCGCAGTCTGCTCCGACGCCATCCCGCGCAATGGAAGAAAAGGCGCCCCTCCTTCCCAACTCGCACGTCGAGGCAAACGCGTCGCCGCCTGATGAGACCATGGTATCGCGCAAGACGAGGAAGACACGGCTGCAGATGGCGGCCGTCGTGCTGGTCTTCAGTCTATTCTTGCTGGCGCGCCAGTTCACCTGTATGGACTTACATGATGAAGCCGACACCAAAGTGCCAGTAGACGTGCACATCATGTCCAAGTGCCCGGATGCGCGGGACTGCCTGAAGAAGCTCGTCCTGCCCGCCATGGCCAACGTGTCGGATAAGGTTGACTTCCGGCTGAGCATGATAGGAAGGTACGTCGCATGACCCACGCGGAAGGTGCAGACCACGTAGCTGACAAACACGCAGCCTAACAGCAGACGACGGCGTCGAATGCAAGCACGGCCAAACCGAGTGCCTGGGCGACATCGTCATGCTCTGCGCCGCATCCGAGTACCCCGATCCTAAACTCTACCTTGGCTTCACGAACTGCCTCACCAGCGATTACGCCGAAATACCCGCTCGCCCCCTCATCGAAGACTGCGCGCTGGAACATGGCCTAGACTTTGGCGTGCTGAACGATTGCATGAGCAAAGAGAACGGCGCGTATGGCATGGGCCTGCTCAGGGACAGCGCCCAACATAGCAGCGATGTAGGCGTCACAACGAGCTGTACGGTCAGATTGGACAACAAGGTGCGATGTGTGACAGACGGTGGCGAGTTCAAGGACTGCGAGGGTGGATCTAAGCCTGAGGATCTCATTCGGGATATTGAGAGACTATACGACGAGGCGCAGGGTTGGACATATTCTTAAACATATGATTTGGGCATTTCGGGTTCTGGCGTTTTGGTTTCAGCATAGATTGATAGATATACCCAACACACCTCTTTTTTCCGTCACAACACACTCGGCAATGCGAACATCTTCAAAGTCTTGATTTCATAATTTCAATACGCCTCCCATGCGCGGAAGACCTGACCAGTGCAGATGATAACTCCAATGCTAAACATGCACAAAATGCCTCCCACTTCATCCCCACTCTACTCTATTGGAACTCGCCAAACTCGCCATCGTCAAAGCCCAAGTCCTCCGCCGTCTGTTTCGGCGGCGTAAAGTTCGCAGCGTCAAAGTTCTGCCTGCTTCTCCTCCGCTCCTCCTTGACGCTCTTCGCGCTGGGCGGCGGAGGCAGGAACCCAGGTCCTCCACCTCCACTTCCCGGCGGCGGCTTTATGCTGAACAGCGCATCTTGCTCGCTCTTGCGGTCGCCCTCGTCGTTCTTCTCGCCGCCCTCGTGTGATCTCGACCGCCTCCCCTTCAAACCGCCCAGATTTATCGATATTGTCTCGCCAGCCTTGAGACTGAAGTCGCGTTTCGGTTCTTCGGCGACGGGCGTTTGTGCGGATTTGGAGTTACGCGATGATGACGACGCTGCGGGGTTCTGTTCAAAGCCCAGTACGCGGCGGGCGTCTTGCAGCGCAATGCTGAAATCAAAGGCTTCGCTGCGTTCTTCGAAGCCCATGCCCAGTATTGCTTTTCTCCCCTCGCCTACGACGGTGATGGCGAAGAAGCGGCTGCTGTCCAATGCCTGTTCTACTGTTCTCTCGCTTGTGTAGGGCGCTGCGGCAAACAGATCTCCTGTCTTGGGGTCCTCTAGCAGGAGGGTGGTTGTGACCTTCTCCTCCGCATCCTCGTTGCTTTGTTGCTCCTCATTGGACGGTATTGAGGTTTCGACGACGCGTAATCGAGCGGTGAAGATCTGGAGCTTGTTGTTTTCGGCTGTCCAGGTCGATGCCTGGTAGCCTTTGGTAGAGGTTGCGGGCGGGATCTGGTAGATGTGGACTTTGGGCGCGAGGTAGAGGATGCGTTGGATGGCGGTTGAAGGGAGGGGCTTGCCGGTTAGAGGATCGACGTTCATGATTGATGGACTATTGGGCTCTGCGGGGCCTTTGTGTTGTCAAGTTATGCTGTCTGGTAGGTGCGTAATGCTTTGCGACAGTTGTTGTGCTTTGGGCGTCCCCTGGATCTAGAAAGTTGGGGGAGCTATAATCTTAGCGGGGTAGTGCTTCTTCCTTGGACCGCAAATCCCACGACTCTGGATCGCAAATGCCAATAACCTTCGAGGGCGCTCCGATTCAGGGTGGCTGTAATCTCAAACAGCGTTTGAAACGGGCGTGGTCGGAGGGATTGGAGGACATGATTGCCCTCGATTCTTCTCCAGTCGGTGATGCGTTGGCACTGCAGGGTCTCCGCGCTTTGGATGGAGAGACCCCGCCCATTCATATTCGTTGCGGGACATATGCAACCCAGGTAAGGTGACCGCTTAGCGCTGCGGAACATGCGTTAGATCGCCTTAGTTTCCTCCATCTTTTTGGATGTGACGATACGCGATGCTTGTGCGGTCGGTAGCAAGCTTGAGTATATCCGTCGTCACGCGCTTCGGTTGCAGAGTAAGGCGACGAGTCATCTCAATGGAAGTCTATTTTATTGTCATGAGATACGCATGGTTGGTCTATTTTTGAGGTCAACAGCAAATCGACTCTAGCCCGCCGTCCAAAATTATCGTGTACGAGTCAAGTATATACAGGAAGGAAATGAGAGTCGAAAGCCGCGTCTAGATGTAGGTGTAGCAGAAAGGTCCACCCATGGTGCTCATCGCATCACCAACAGTGATGTTTCCGGGGTAGGCGTGTCCGAGAGTCATAGTGTCGGTGAGCTTAGTCGCAGGAGCGGTGGGGTCACCGAGGGCGATGGTTCCGTAGATGGCGTTAGTCCTTTCCGCGGGGTTTACGTTCTGCCATGACCACCACACACGGTCGATCTGGGCGTGATGGAAGTAGAAGTATGGATCACCTGTTCATCGTTAGCCCAGAACAATCGTGAACGGCAGTACGGAATACATACCAGGAGAGGTGAAGAAGTCAGAACCGGGGTCTGCGCCGACGGTAAAGTGACCAGCAGTGTGCACGCCCATGAAGTTGTTGGAAAACGCGTTCTCACCACCTTGCATGTCGTACCAGAAGGTCTTCATGTCAGGGCTGTTCAGCAGTTTGACTACCATCTCATCGTTGGTCCATTGGCTGGAGGACCAAGAAGAGATGTCACGCTTCAGGCAGCGGGGGTTGTATCCAAGGCCACCATTGGCAGGATTGGGTCCGGTGAAATTGATCGGGTTCGGGGGCGTGCAGAGCGAGTCCGTGAAGACGGGACCAAGGTTGACAGACCAATCCTTGAATGGACCAGACGTCACGCAACCTCCGCCAGTGCCCTTGGGGATCTTGATTAGAGGTTCCAGATTGGTCGGGATACCGTAGAAAGTCTGGTTGCTGCAGCCTGCATCACCATTACCGCCCATCGAGGTATCGGAGCCGTCTAGGACAGGGCTCTTCATTGGGTCGTCAGCCCATCGAGGCCAGTTGTAGTATGGCTGGTAGCCCTTGTAACCACACTCGTCACGGAGAGTTTTCTCGTAGGCATAGGTGAAGTAGCGGTGCCATGGTAGGAAGTTGCCAGTGTTGTGAATGGCAAATGTTTGCTTGATGTGAGTAGCAAGAAAGTCATCGTATCGGTTCCGGCAACCCGGGCACTCAGATTCGGGTGTCTTAGGGGGTAGCTTGGAGATACACTGTACGGCCTTGACGTAGTCTTTCTTCTCCGATTTAGTAAAAGTCACCCTGGGTATGTTAGCTAGCAGTAGATAATTGGATTACAACAGACTTACCATTCCTTGCGAACAATGATGTTCGTAGGGTTGCACTTTTTGAACTGGCCAGGCTTCTGTGTAGCCTGGAAGATCTGCTGATTGATGGCAGCAATACCGGCATACACATCAGCCTGCAGGATCTTTGGTCCGGGAAGATTTGGAGAGACATTCTGTCTCTTGTCGAATGTGACAGCGGGAGCAGCCTCTTCCAATGAGGGAATGGCACTGGCTAGTGCTGCAGGTGCAAGCCAGAGGAGTGCAGCGGTACGCATGATGGCGTTTCGAACCGGTTAAAAATGGGTGATCGACTGTCTAGAGGGGCTTGAAGGATGAAGACGATGGAAGGACTGAAACGGTCGAAGACGTTGAATAAGGTTCCGGGTGAGCGGCCGCCTGAGCTAGCGACTACTGTATTAATATTAGGAGATGGGGGAGGCGTAGTCAAAATGTGGCGATGCCCTGGCTAAAGTTTGGAGGCCGCATGCGTGTTCAAGTACTCGCAGGAGGTACCTTACCACTCGCCCCATCTAGTCTAATAACAGTCCAACATAACTGTGCCGTAGCAGATCGTGCTGTCTACAGACCCATCAACTCGGTTTGTTGATTCCGGGTAGCCATTGAGTCAGTTGGGTGGCCCTTGGGCTTATGCCATACTGAAGTTTTATTCGCCCGGTATCCGGCAAGAGTTTGAAAGGGTTGGACAACCTCCTTTGTGCACGATCTATTACCGAATAGGCATCTGGAAAATGCCGAGGTCGCCTCGAAGGATCCGATGAGGCGTTTCCTAAACTCCGCTACACGTGGGTTCGCATGAGTCTCGCCCCTAAATATGAGTGGAAAGAAGATGTACGACCGGAATTGACACCTGTAACTGAATGCAAGATGCGTTAGCGGCTCAATTTGATTGGATGCTGGATTATTGGGGTTCTCGGCTACGGGTTTATGAAGAAAGTCGAAGGATGCTGTAGGCGGCCTGGTATAAGCGGCTGAACGAGGAGCATCTCGAGCCGTGTGGGCCGGTAAATTCATCAAAGATGGCAGTAGCTTTCCACAGAGGGAGGCGCACCGGCACACAGGCAAGTCCCGATAAGAGTGCCGACTGGATGTATCGACATCTTGTTGCTTTCCTTGAAGGGTTTTGCTTCTCGATTCGATGAAGTGTTTTATCCCGGAAGAGAGCGAACACATCGCAGCGCGATCTTAGCAAGATCTTGATGCTTGACCATAGCCAGGTGCCACCTTATTTTACCCGGCCACATCGTGCGAAGCCCGCTGTCCGGGTGCGGAACTCACGGGAAGAGCCCTAGGTTCATGGCGGATAACTTCTGTTTTTTGCTCATGGTCCGATGGAGAGCGCCAGATCGACCAGTCAAGGGCTGGCATAGAAACTCTGATCAACGCTCGTGCTTAGGCAGAACGCATTAAGGTGGCTAATAAAAGTCTTACTCGGAAAGCCTGTCGATGCTGAGGAGGCTGGAGTTCTGGTGCTCCAGCTCTGAACGGGAGGGGAATAAGGTCCACGGGCCGCGAGAAGACGCTATGGCCGGATAATTCCAGGGCATGCCGCGGAGGCGGCAGCGGCAGCGGCAGCGTGAACGTCTAGCGCCCGGCCGACCACCAATCTGTTTACTCATCTCACATGTTACCACCTACATCGCCTGCGGCAGGTCCGGACTTCGCTTACCCGACCTTGCTCGCGTGCCGCGATGGTCGCACTTTCATTACCAATGGCTTTGGCATGCGAAAAGCAAGCAGTACGCATTAACACGAGAATATCACACACCATTGTCCGACGTACTCAAACTGCGTCCTCTTCGCGGCCAATGGGCAAAGAACAGCAATCAAGGTCAGTCGTACAGGAGCGCTGGGCAATATGGAAGGAAGAAATCTCAGACCTGCCGATGACTAGGGTGTGTTCGTTTACAACGTGCAGCAGTCTCCATCTCCGTGCGTAAAACGACAATCGTCTTGACTAAAATCCATGACCAGGACGCCTGATGCCTAGACGTAAACGGAAAGTCGCTACGAACTTCGATAATCCTTCAGCAAGACATCGCGTTCTGGTCCAGCCCGCATTACTTCGATGCGCAGTAAGTGTACCTGCATAGCCTCCAACTCAGGCTATCCTCCGAGCAATATCTGTGAGAAGGCGGGCTACGAAGTCCGTCTCCCTATAGAAGCATTGATCATCCCGAGTCTACATGTTCCTTGTCCACGATCGCGGCTTTAGCCATGAATGACTGACTGGACGGTACGGACCGCCCGCGACATGGAGTCGTGGACAAGAAGAACCGTATTGTCAAAACGTTCCGCGCAGAAGGCTTTTGTAGAAGGCACCCTTCGCGCATGCTGCCACATTTATTTTGAAGCCGAAGATGTAGCAGTTGTGCGGCACATCGAAGGATGAAGGATTAAACTTCGTACTCGCAGAGCCGCTGGTCGCTACGAGAGTGGTCAGTTTGCCATGAGAAACGCCATTCCGGCTATTCGCAAGCTGCACGATCCTGCCGAGCCGCCATGTCGACATTGAAGTGGCGGCCCATGCATGTACGACGAGCTGTTACTGGCCTAAACCAGGACTGTTTGAGATGTATGTTCGCTTGTGTGCGGTTCGGGTTTACACAATGTGCATATGCCTAAGTGCTACTCTGGAGAAGCCCGCAGGAAGCGCTCCTGAGCAATACTCTAATAGTCTGGGGACCTACTTCCAAGACATACGGTCTTGCCATCACTTTCAATCCACGCAACAACCAACATGGAGTATCACGCTCTTGTTGCGAGACAGGCTGAGGGCTGGCCCGTGATGCCAGCGCGATCACCAGAGTACATGGCCGAGAATCAAGCTGGGCGCTTGATGGCGGTGGAAGGTTCGTTGTTCGCACTGTCGACGAGCGCTATACTCTTGCGATTTTATGTGCGGCTCTTCATGCTAAAGACGTTTGGCTGGGATGGTATGTATGATCCATTCGCCGTTGTATCAAACAGAACTGACTGAAACAGATGCTATGATGGCGATTGCATTGGTGAGTCGCCATGCTCATGCATGAGCCTGCTCGAAGGGAGCTGGTTGCTAATCGTCACTCCACAGGCTCTGAGCTCCACAACCCTAGGCTTATTCTTGAAGGTCATTGACCTGGGACTTGGACTACATGCTGAAGCCTTTCCACCCGAGAACGTGTTCCCCTTCTTCAAAGTCATGTACTTCTACTCGATCTTCATCATCGCCGCATACAGCTTCATCAAGCTCTCAATCGGCTTCTTCTTGTTACGGCTCGCGGACCGAACAAAGTGGCGTCCATTTCTCATTGCCATGTTGAGTATGTCTGAATGAGCTACATGGTAAGAGATAGGCAGCTAACATGAGATCAGTTTTCATTGGTGTGTTCACTATTGGTTCGACATTCGCCATCATCTTCCAGTGCATTCCTGTACAAGCTGGATGGGACTACAACATGCGTCCACCCACGGGGTGAGCTCTCCCCCATCTCCGATACTCCTCATGAACGATACTAACATGTCTTCAGAACTGCGAAATGCTACGATTCTGGCATCTTCAAAAACGTCGGCGTCTTCAACTCTTCAGTCAACATCGCCACTGATCTGCTCTTCGCCCTCATCCCCATACCGATGGTATGGAGATTACAAGTTACGATCCAAACGCGCATAGGTCTAGCAGTTATCCTAAGCTTGGGTCTCTTTGCCTCTGCAGTAGCCATCTACAAGACGCCAATGCAGTACAACTTCTTTAAGATAACCGACTGGTCCGGCGATGGAGCATGGTACTACATCTGGCAACAGTACGCACTCTTCCTACGCAGTTTACGCTTCCACTTTGACTGACCCCTCTTACAGAGTCGAGATGCACGTAGGCATTATCGCCGCCTGCCTCCCAACCATGAAACCCCTCTTTGCGAACTTCTTCGGCCAAATGCGCTCTCTCGCCACCAAGGGTCGCACCACTGGCAACAGCACACCCTTTCGATCGAACGGGTACATGAGGCATAATGACATGCGTCCTGGCGACTCTTTTGCCATGCAAAACATGTCAGGAGGCGCAAGGGATCCGTACTCCGAGGATACCGTGCTGGGCAAAGATACGTATACTGTCGAGGCTTCACGAGGAAGGGCCTTGAGTAGGCCCAAGAGTCTCGCGGGCGAGAGTGACGATAGTATCTTGGAGCATGAGGTCAATACTGGAGAAAGGCGCAGTGTGCTTCCTAGGGGTATGACTATCGTGAGGACTACTGAGGTCAACATCTCGAGATAGTAAAGATGTGGAAATTATGTGTAAGCAGTTGGGTTGTCATGGCTGCATGGCGTTACGAGAGATACCCTTCCAAAAGCACGTCGATCGCGCAATGTTTATATGAGTATGTAATAACGGTTATTTGGTATGTAGCACATCTGCTTTGACAAACAATATCATCAGATTCTAGTCTATCGTGTAATCATGTCTATGGTCTTTCTATGTCGTCCAACATTTTCGTCTATGATAATCCTGAGGGATCTGATCCATCTTCACATGGATTCGTCCGCGCCGCAGCCACTGCCGTGCGCACATCATCAGGAGGATTCGGTATCTACTGCGCCGCAGCATAGGCAATCCCAACACCCAAACTCTTGGATGGGTCTTGCAACGATATTTCCGGAATCCTACTTATTTCGCTGTCTGAACGTCGATGCCAGCAGCGCCGCTCTTGTACGCCTCGTAGCCTTCCTTGGCGGCCGCTTGGACAGTGGTCTTTCCCTCAACGATGCTCTTGCACTTAGCCAGGATGTTGGACCAATCCTCGAAGACCGTGAACGGCACATCCTCGCGCGCGCAGTAGCTGATCAGGTCGTGACCCTTCTTGGCGAAGAGCAAATCGGTCTCGCGTGCTGCAGAGAGATCGGATACACCGTCACCGGCGTAGAACATTGTTGGACGGAGGTTCTCGGGCAGGCTCGAGTACTTTCGCAGTTCAATGGACTTGTCATGGCCGAAGCCAGACTCTGGGTGCTTGAACAGGATCTGCCATCCACCCTCCTCATTGATGTTCTTGCCTTCCCGTGGACCGACGTGGTTGCCCAGGACTTGCATCTTGCTTGCATCTGGTCCAACCAGCTTCTCCAAAAGCGCCTTGATGACTGGCTCCATGCCCGAGCTCAGCACTACGACTGGGATGTTGTTCTCCAGCGACCACTCGAAGAAGCCCTTGAAGCCAGGGTCCAGCTTGATGTTGTCGACAAGGTACTGGATACATTGGTCGTAGGGCTTTGTGACGCTGTCCATCATGTCGCGGAAGGAGTCGCGGAAGGAGATCTCGTTGTTGAGGCAGGCGATGTTGCCCGCGCGGCGCTTGTCGCGGCCGTAGCCAATGTTGTCGGTCATGAAGTCATTGGAGTCTTGGAGGGTGATTGTGCCGTCGAAGTCTGTGAAGAAGATGAACTGTGCTTGTTAGTTGTGAGGTACCAATCGTATGAAAAGAGTTATACCTTTGGGTCACTCTTCATGGCAGGCAATTGTGCCAGATCGATCTGTGCTGAACCCATGTTGGAATACTAAACGAGCGACTGTGGTGCTGGTTTACGGTGGAAGTGTGAATGTAGGAGTGAGAAGCACCCCGCCAGATATCAACACCATCTAAAAGATTAGGCAAGGGGCGCTAGGAAACCCTTAATCGGAATGCCGGCAGTCTGCAAATAAGGGACGGGTTGCTAGAGCTGAGAGGGCCAGTCATCGTCATGCCGCAACCCCACGCGCCTTGGCACGTCAGCGCTCGCTGCGACGCCGCCCGCCCGCTTCGGGGGTCCGCATTTTGGCGCATTTTCGTCATTCGTCATCCAGCTCAGGCGCTCTCCATGTGAGGGCAGAGACAAGAATGAGGCCACTGCTTCAGCATGCTTCACGCTCGCTTATCGCCAATACAGTAGCTCCTTCTTCGCGTTCTTTCAGCAATGTCGCCCGCAGCGCATCGTCAGTATGCTGGAGTTACAGGTATCGCACAGCTTCTGGTGCGCCGAGGTGGGATGGAAAGACACAATTGAGCACCAATGTATCCGCGAATCGGTCGCGGCGTGCTTTCACAAGCTCGACAAGATGGATGGAAGAGGGGAAACCACCCAAACCATCGGATCCCATCGCAATGCCACCGCCCGCAGACGACGCGAATCCCATTCAGCAACCTCCAACCAGACTATCAGCATCCACACCATCACCAGAGGATCAAAAGCGACTAGAGCAGAGGCTCAACGCTCTACTGGAGGATCAGAAAGCTATCAAACGAGCAGCAGAGACTTCGGTGGCGGCATTGACGGATGCCCCCGTCCCTGAGGTCAAAGAACCCCCTCCAAAAGAGCCAGAACCACCCAAGAAGGACGAGTCCTTGGACAATATTGCTCGCGTTCCGGACGAACACTTGCCTTCACACCAAGAGAAGCAGAGATGGAGTCTTTCCAAGCGCTTCTCCGAGGCCATGGATGAGCTGCTGCCGAAGCTTGCTGTGGTCACGCAAAAGGTCAACACATACACCGGCACCGACTACTCCGGGGTAGAAGCACTCAGGAGGGAGATCAAAGAGCAAGGTACAATGACAAATCGCCTACTATGGCGATGCGATAGCTAACACCACACAGAGAAACTCGTCAAAGCCCGCCGCTCAGCCATTGATTCCGCCAAACAAGCCCTCGATACCGCCCTTGCCCACCAGGCTACCTCGCAGAAGGAAGTTGTTGCTCTTCTCGAACGCAAGCATTCCTGGTCAAACGGCGATCTCGAACGCTACATGGCTCTCATCCGCTCGGAACACATCAACGACCAAGCCGTTCGCGAGGCCAAAGACGCCGTCGCAAACGCCGAGAACGCGTTGGAGGACGCGCGAGCACAGCTGGAGAAGAGGGAACGTGCACAATACCATGAAGAGCAAATCTGGAGCGATACTATTCGGAGGAACAGTACATGGGTTACGTTTGGCCTGATGGGTGTCAACATCTTCTTGTTGCTATTGAGTCTGGCTATCCTGGAGCCATGGCGGCGGAGGAGGATGGTCCGGGAGATCAAGAACACGCTGGAGGCACATCAGAAGCTTGCGATGGATGCTGCGACACCATCGGTCGGTGCTGCAGCAGTAGCGCCCGCATCAGCCACACAAGGACTCGCAGCGATTGAAGAGGAGATCGACCGGGCTATGGATCATACCGACGCACCTGCAAAAGCCGCGGCGCCTGTAGTATCTGAGGTCATTGAGGAGTCTCCAACAGCTGGTACAAACAATGGATCGTCAGTCGAAGCGGACCTTATCCCAGAAGCCGTCCCCGAAGCAGCTATTGACCCGCTGCCAGCCACCGTAGTTCCAGAAGCTGAGACGCTCACCCCGGAAGAAGAGGCTCTGACACCCGAGGAGCGCATAGCAGTCGCTGAAGAAAGCGCGCCATCTCACGCCGCTCCTCGCTCCAAGCTGGAAAGCTTGCAACAAAAGGCGAGCTTCATAGCACACGACATTGTGAGCGATCGCGTTATTTCGATGCGACGAATCGACTACACGAGCGCCATTCTCCAGGGTGCTGCGGCGGGAGCTGTTATCACGGCGAGTATAATCGCTATGTTGCGACCGAACTAAGGGTCTGCGTCATGTATGAATAGAGCCTTGTATCAAAATGTATATAATTTATCTCGTGAGATGTTGCTATCCGCTTAATTGCTTTACAGCCGTATCGTTCCATCCTCCCTGTCGAGGTCCTTTGAAGTACCCATTGTTCTAAGAACTTGCTAGTGAATTGGGGAACGGTGTATGCCTGTGAGCTCGGTTTTTGGGCTCCACGGTTACTGCTTAGATATAATATCGAGAGAAGAGATGGTTCATTTGCTGAGCCTGAGGCTCGCCCATCCAAGTGGGTATAGAGTATACGTAGGCTGAGCCGAGACGCCTTCTACCAGAGGGATACGGCCGACGATAGTGGGTACACGTATCGCTCGAACTGCACATCTTGGAAGCCGTGGAGATTACCAAGTATGCGGCGCGGTGTCGCATCTTCCCTCCCTAGCCCAGGACACTTTCGTAAGGAGGGACATAGGCAAGGTGCGCCGCCGAGCATTCAGGGGCGTGCAATGATGCTACCCGCTGTTCAGTAGGCTCGGCATAGCAAATGGGAGGAGTATGAGGAAGATGAGGCTTGCACCTACTCGCTCATATCTTCGCTCTCATTTCCGTCGTCTACTCTAGCAAGCACTTCGCTCTCACGCTGTCTCTCTTTATCCGCGGCCTTCTCCACACTTTGTAGCATCGGCAGCTCTCCAACACCATCCCAAGCTCTTGCTCTCTTGATGATATGTTGTGACTGTCGGATGACCTCCTCTTCCGCCTTCTTGATTGTGCCACTAACTCTTACGACTCTTATTACGACAGGTGTATCAAGGGGTTTGGGAAGGTGGGTGATGTATGTGAGGGCTGCCCAGACCATTTCGTAGTGGTCTCGTGGACATCGTATTATGGCCGTGCTGGTCGAGGGGGAGTAGTAGTTGACTGGCTGTGCTTTAGTAAGGCGATTATGAGGCTGAGAGGAGTACGCACCTTTTAGACCCGAAGAGACCATACCCGAACCATAGTCACCAAATAGGTCTTCTACTCCGTCTCGTATCATGCGCACAATGACGCCCTGCTTCAGGGCATCAGGCGTCGGCGAGTGGATCTGGATGACATCTGGGAGTTGCGTCTTGCTCTTGGCGGGAGGCTCTGGGTATAGGAAGTTGACCACTAGGTAGCGATTCTTGACGCGAACCATTTTGAATGAAAGCTATATCTTAGCCGTCTGTGTAACCTGACTGTATGCGCGCGCCGGGCAGTGTGGGGTGTCGAGGTGCAATGCAAACGGAATCACCCAAATAAAATCTGACAGGCAGATCCTTGACGCGACGCGACCGCAACCACCACAATTGAAAGGAGAGCAGTCCTCGCAATTGGTACTCGCGACAATTCTCTCGCACGCGCAAGCAGACGCCAAAGCGATCAAAATCACAAGCCATTCCCCATCTATCCATCCATCCACGGCAAGCGCGTTCCACGCATTAGCGCATCAGGCGTGAACCGGCTTGGCTATGACGCACATGGCTAGAGGCAGCATCCCCAGCTTTAGTGGCTCTCCTTCCGCAGCTGCACCATCACAGCCAACGGCTACTATCACCACTCAGGACCCACTCCATCACAACGACCTAGTCTCTCGAGGCCTCATCGCCCTTTCAAAAGCCCCTTCCAACCCCAAGTCGCGCAAACGAGCAAGAGCACCCCCAGCTAAGCGCAGAAGCCCTGGTCTTCCTCCACCAGCCGTCAACATGGCGTCTTCGTCTTCTTCTACGCCGCTGCTCTAGTACGATATACCTACTACATGATATACACTGTAGATAACATGACTAACAATACCACAGCGCATGCATAGCCCACAACACCACCGTCCTCACCGAACACACCGCCTCGGCCTCTTCAAACGCCTCCTCGCTCGTGTCGCTCGTCCTCCCACGCATCGCCCACGACAAGTCCGCCCATAAGACTATCGATCAATCCAAGTTCTTCATTCACTGCCTCGTCAAGTCGCCCTCCGACTTCCCCAACAACCAGTCGACAGCTGGCGGCCTGACTTTCCTCGTCATTGCTGAGCGCGACCTCGGCCAGCGCATACCTTTTGGTTTCTTGACGAACCTCGAGAAGAAGTTCTTTGCTGAGTTTGAGCCTGGGAGCACGAATTTCCACGACTTGCCGCCGTACGGATGCGCGAGTTTCAATGGCGCGCTGAAGAGGATGATGGTCGAGCAGGGTGGTACGCAGGCCGGTCAGCAGGATGCGCTCAGAACTGCTCAGCGCGAGATTGAGGGTGTCAGAGAGATCATGACGGAAAACATTGAACGCGTGCTGGAGAGGGGTGAGCACATGAGTGTGCTGGTCGACAAGACCGGCAGGTTGGGCGAGAACGCGCGCGACTTTAGGGTCCGGTCGAGGACGCTTAAGAGGCGGATGTGGTGGAAGAACGTCAAGTTGATGGTGCTGCTGACGCTCGTCGTCATCTTTTTGATCTATCTCTTTGTTGGCTTCGGCTGTGGTCTTCCTGGTAAGTTCATTGTGGATGGCAGGAATCCGTGAGCTCACTCGTTGCTTCACGCGACTGTGAGCTCGCACGGATCCCTGCCACCCCCGGTGCCCCTGGTGGACATCTCACGAAGGTGCTCGTTATCAGTGTGTATCCGCCTGCCTCGTGTAGACGGTGACACCCTGAAAGCGAACACCTTCGTAGCGCGCGATCTCTCGAACAAAACGCTAACCAATAACAGGTTGGGGACGATGCCTCGGTCACTAAAGTCGCGCCGACAAAGGTACGAGACGACGGTTATCAGATATGCGGCAGGGCCTTCACGAAGAGCATACGACGTGTTCAGAAGTTTTGATGCGATTACGCAAAGCCTGACGACTTTGCGCGTGGGGGATTTGTTCATTGTATACACCAAGGGCGAGGCGTCTGGCGTCTTCCCTATTATCAGTAGTAATTACTACCTCCATTTCCATTCC